CTCTTACGTTAGGTGGGGTGACGTGACGTGACGTGACTTCACGTAACTTGGCGTGATTTGACGTGACTTGAAGTGACTTTACGTGACTTAGCGTGACTTGGCGTTAGGCGTGGCGATGTAAAGCGAGGCGAGGCTAATCTAGGCTAGGTTAGGTTATTTTAGGTTAGTTTAGATGAGGTTAGCTTAGGTTAGGTTAAGTTAGGTTAGGTTAGGTTTGCGCAGTAGAGTTGTGCGCATCAGTCAGTAACTGAGGGTACCATTCCATGTTGTTAAGTAAGGAGAGGTAAGGTGTGGTGAGGTGAGGTGACGTGACGGTACTTGACGTGACATGGCGTGACTTGATGTGATTTGTCGTGACTTTACGTGACCTGACGTGAGTTGGCGTGAGTTTACGTGACTTGACGAGAGGTGATGCGAGACGGGGCGAGGAGAGGCGGGGCTAGGCTAGGCTAGGCTAGGCTATGCTATGCTATGCTATGCTAGGTTAGGTTAGGCTAGGCTAGTTTAGGTTAACTTAGGTTGTGTTAGGATAGGTTAGTTTAGGTTAGGTTTTGGTAGGTTAGGTATACGTAGTAGTCTTTTGCGCATCAATCAGTAACTGAGGGGTACCATTCCCTGCTCTTACGTTAGGTGAGGTGACGTGACGTGACGTGACGTGACGTGATGTGATTTGATGTGACTTAACGTGACTTGAAAAGACTTTACATTACTTAGCGTGACTTGTCGGGACTTGGCGTGAGGCGCGGCGAGGTGAAGCGAGGGGATGCGAGGCGATGCTAGGCTAGGTTAGGTTATTTTAAGTTAGGTTAGTATAGGTTAGGTTTGCGCAGTAGACTTGTGGGCATGAATCTGTATCTGAGTGGTACCATTCCCTGCTGTTAAAAAAAAGAACCCGAAGAAGGGAGAAGTAGTTAGTGCAAAGTGTGGGAAATTGGTGGCGTTAAGTGGAAGGATAAGCGCGATATCTCAGTGCTGATTACTAAACATTCAGACGAAATGCAACCCGTAAATCTAAAGGGTGGATTAGAATTTGTAAATAAACCTATGTGTGTAATAGAGTATAGTAAATAAATGGGAGGTGTAGACTTGAACAATCAGCTACTAGAAACATTCTTGCTAGAAAGGAAAAGGCAAAAAGCGTGGTATAAGAAATTATTCAACCACTTAGTAAATACGGTAGCGTTGAATGCTTACATTCTGTACTGCAAAACTGGTAACAAGAAAGATCATCTGTTATTGAGAATAAACTTAGTGAATAAGATCATAGCAAAGTCCCATGGACAGAATTTAGAAAAGTGCAAAGGGCGTCCTTCAGATACCGACATGGAATGTACGAGATTGACGGGACAGCATTTCAGTCAAGAAAATCCCGAAACCTAAACTTAAAAACGGAAAGAGAAAGCAAACCAGAAACAGGTGTAAAAACTACCCAGGGGCACCCTCTCTCTGCCTAGACGCCTCTTTTGAGCAATACCGCACCAAGGTCAGCTACTAGACACTGCATATGGGGAGCTGAGAAAAAGAAATAGCTTGACAAAATATAAGTACACATTTATAATAATGAACTCTAAACAATTGTAAATATAGTATAATTTTTTGGATCTTTTCAAATAGCGATTTCGTTATTTGAAAATATTTAGGTAAATGTCTGGACAAAACCTTCAGTGCTTGCGAAAATAAAGCACGGGGAGGGATTTAAATTCTCCCGCTTAAATTCACGGTAGATGCATGTAAGTGAGCGGATGCATATGGTGTTTCGCACACGCTTGAGGGGTTAAATGATTCCATCTACATGAACAGCTTATTAGGAAACATAAATTAATAATTCTACAAAGTGAACGCCGAAACATGTAGCTAAGATAATACTGACCTCGACCATCTCGTTTTTGTGTTGCGACGGATTCTAGAAGGGATTTTTGTAACCGTAACTCGTCAAAATCCATTGGAGACTCTCACCTCTGGAAAATTATATTGTTGAGATTGTTATAGGCGTAATTAACTGACTCCATGGAGATGAGTCCGTCTTGAGAAGCTAATAGTTGCTCTCTATTCAAGAAATTCCCCGCAATGTATGAACCCGGAAGTTCATTCCAGTGAACACAAGACTCCGCCAGTGGCTCCTATCCTGAGCCAGGTTAATCCAGTTCAGGTTGTCCCATAATCTTTTTTTTAACCTTCGGTTTAATATTATTCTCATAGCTACATCTTAAGTCTTCCTAGCGCTTTCTTATCAAAATGTTGTATGCACTTCTCTCCAGGTCTTCCTCATGCCCTGCGTATCTCATCCTTCTAGATACACTTATGATCGTTCTGATAATACACGTATTTTGGCGAGGAGCACAAATTATGAACCTGCCCATTCAAATATTCAAGTTTTACCACGTTTTCAAATTACCTATTTGTTATTGTTACGGTATGATTTCGTTCAGTGTTTTGGTAAGAAGACATCGGCTTAGTTTTACCTGATGTGATTGTGAGGCCATAACTTCTTTAAGATTTCGTCACCTGGGCCAGTTCTTTATGGAACCAAGTGACTTTTATGAAGCCTCCATAAATAAAGTCGTACATTTCTTTCGAAGTGTAGGATTAATAAAGGGTTAACCCACAGGGGAAGCACAATAAGTCATTGAAGGGCGCAGTGCAAGGGCCGGATTTTATGGCCCACCATTTACATACATAGATACACACATATTACTACTACTACTAGTAGTAGTTTTCTCTGCGTTTACTTGTAGACCAGCCTTTTTGCTGGCTTTTAGAAGAGCTGCTCCGTTTTTCTCTGTGATGAGTCAACTTCGTAGCAACAGCAGTAAAATATATTGAAACATAGGCATGTGCTTGTATTCCCATACAATGAAGCATCTTTCAGCATTCTTTGGAGCTCTTCTGGTTTTCGTCTGAGGGACATGAGATAGTCTCTTTCTTTCACGGCTTACCACAGACGTTTTGACGAAGGTTTGTAGATCAGTAACATGTCGATCGTAAAATACTAGTTACATATTGTGGTAGCTTCTGGAGAAAGAAACATTTTCTGCAGAAAATACAGAGGATCTACTGTTGCGCTTGTTTATAAACTAGGTTATGTGAAGAACTTTGGCAGCTTTTGCGGATAAAGGGGGTCACGTGGTTAGCGCAACGGATCCCTACGTCCGTTAATCTCGGATTTCTAGACTGAAGCCGCTATTTCCTTAAAATAGCTGCTCAATTATTCTCGCGAGGCTGAGTGGACCCCGTTCCAGACCCACTACTTCTCACATAATCTTGTAGCGCCGGGAATCGAACCGGAGACTTCTGGATCTGTGGCCAGGAACTCTGACCACTAGACCACAGAGGCGGTCGTAACTTCGCCCACAAGCGGCGGACGCTCGGTCGGTATAGTTCGCTTGCGCACTACAGGCCACGGAGTTTGTTTATGTGAGGAACTTACGACTTCTGCAGCTACGACTACTGCTGCATAGCAGCCGCGTTATCCCTTGGTAACGTCCCCACGGGAGGGGGCGGGGTGTTGACTGACCTATTACCGTAGCAGCGGCAGCGCTCCGGTGTGGTTAGGTCACCGCTTACGAGCCTAGTATGACACCATTTCAGCGGTTGTACATGTCGAGGATACCTTATACTCATTTTTGCTGCTTGTCATGGAGAGCTGTTAGTTCAGTTGCAGGATATTTGGCCACAGAAGTTTTTATTTTGTGACATCGACTTCGTTTATACGGAAAAGGCCGCAACCCGCTGCAGTAGCTTTTCCAGGACTCGAACCAAATTCCTATATCCTTCAGAGCCTTCAGATCTCTCGCCACACAAGCCTGTCTGCGGAGAATTATGAAGGAGAAAAGTTAATTCACGCAATCACTCAGCAACAAAAGGGAGTACATTGACGGATCGATAAAACAGGCTGTTACATGGGAGGAGCAAGACCTCAGTTGTATCGTCCCTCCTGTATGTGACGTCACAGTGTGCTGTCGTAATTATATCTCCATTACATCGCACCAGTAAGTGACCTGCATATGGCTTGCTCGCGTTTTGACAGTTCCACATATGTTACGTTGAACAAATGAAATGAAAGGTAGAGTGGACAGTAAATTGGGCCCTGGTGGGGTACACAAGAAATTCAGACAGAAATGTTGGTAGGGAAATATTCTGGAAAGCTGCCACTTAGAATAGGGGCATAAAAATTGATGTTTCCTTGAGCTTTCAGTAATTATTTTTTTAACTTTATGTGATGATATAGAGTCGAATGTGATGATAGCGATTGTAAACGATGAAATGGTTTGTTTGTGGAAGAAAGCTCCCCCTCTGAGACCTGAGGGAAACCACGGATGACACCTAGGCAGGCTGTTTGATAATTTTCGATTAATCGGGCCACAAAGAGGACCATCAGGTAATACGTAATGTTCAGTGGCTGAAAAATTATCCTCGTGCCATTGTTGGTAAGGCTGGCCTCTCCCTGGTAATAAGGCACTCTTTCCTGTAGTGATTGCTTTCCAACCTGAAATTCTGCATCGAAACATGTACAGGTTCTACACCGCCCTACTCGCTCGCAAGCCATTGGGTGAACAAGACTGAAAAATCCTTGCCGATCCTTGCTGCTCGGCCCCTTTATTCACCAAGGGTGAATACGTTATGGCCACCTTTTGACTTCGTGTTATTGCCCTAAGCAATTATTTCGCGACGCATGCGTGTTCGTGGTACCCTGGAAAGATCTGCTGCAGGTGTAATGCTACTGTCTCCTCGGAAAACTCTTAAAAGTTCTTATCACGTTACCGCCACGTGCCGCTGGGGAGGTAGGGGTCCTCCGTTGCGCAACATGTCACAATATATTCAGCCGTCCAGGACTGCTCCACTGCATAGAAGTGAAGTAGCATTATTACTGGCAAGTTCGTTTCAAAAAATTAAGCTTCATTAACAAATACAATTTTTCTATTTTTCCAAAGTGGGCCCCTTTCCTCGACATGGCTCACTAATAGCATATAACAATGGTTGACATCGCTGGCAGTCAACTAATAATGGATTTGGCGCTGAGAACAAGTGAGTATGCTTTATCCTCATTAACAACAGCATTAAACTGTAATTCAGTATACTATGTCTGCTTACAGAAACACCGCAGACGACAGTAGCGAACACAGCGCCGCCATTAACGCTGACAGGGAGGTTTGCCGAAAAACGATCCTATTCGCCCAATACACCCGAATATACGCAATAGCTCTATCGATTGGGCCCAACTCAGTAGGCTTTACCTGAAGACGGAGGCAGGATCTAGTATCCGAAACATTGTATTTTGAAATATAAACAAGACGGTGTTTTAGATAAAAACAGGATTATGTCTAATGTCCAGAAATATAATATTCATATAACAGATAGACATATGGAATATTCAGTGCCATTCTGTCTCTCTCTCTCTCTCTCTCTCTAAGCCGTATGGAAAGCAAAAAGGAAAAATCAGTACGGTAGGTCGGATGGTTCGTGAACAGTGAGCAAAAAACTGGTCTCTTCGGGGTTTTACAAAATTTTTGGGGATACTTGAATCTAAAAAAGAATAGGTGTTTCAAGATCATAAAACATTCCTTGTAGTGTCTCTACCATCATGCCAAATTCCGTCGAGTTAGGAGCAACGGTATGGAAATATAAAACTTACTCATGGAGCTGAGCCCTTATTGAGGAGCCGCCAATTCTGCAGCTACTCAAAAATTTCCCAGCATTTTATGGAACCCGAAGGTTCATTGCCGTGTTCACAAGAGCCCTCCATTGGTCCCTATCCTTAGCCAGATCAGTCTAATCCATCCCATCCCATCTCTCTAAGATCATTTTAATATTGTTTGCCTGTGATTTAGCTGTCGGGGCAGAGGGTGGTCGGTCAGTGGACTGGGATTCTTACTCGGGACTTGCCGAACACGAAGCATCAAAAGTTGAATAAATCATATCATAATAATTAGACATCCTTCCTATCAGCCACCTGTGAATATTGCAGCAAAGCGCAGAATCTTTAAGGGGGCTCCTTCCATGTCTTAGTTTGCCGAGGATGGAAGGGAAAATGTTCCTATTATAGATCGTGCATTCATCAGTTCGTTGACAATTTCGTCTAGAACGTCATTAAAGTGAGATCTATAACCATTAATTTTTGTTCTAGTTTAATGTCCATCTCATGAAACTGACTTCAGCTGATACTGATCTTCACTCAGTCCTCGTAGTGATCCGTACCCACTCGTTATATGTCAATAATGAGCTAGTTAGCTATCTTATTGAGGAGATTCACATGACTTCCACAGTCGTGAGGCAGTAGAATATGGTCATGAGTCCCGCAGGACTCGGAACAAAGAATTACTGTGCTGGTGAAACTAGTAGGAATTTACCCAACCGACCGACTGACTGGTATCTTACCAATTTTCTATCCTATCTCCGTGGCTTTTAGTCCGCAAGCTAACTATACCGACCGAGCGACTGCCGTTTGTCGGCGAAGTTAGTATGAACTTTAGCGGATAGAGGGTGTCGCATGGTCAACGCAATGAATCCCCACGGTCTTTAATCTCGGGCTTGTAGACCGGAGCAACTATTTCCTTGAAATAGCACCTCAATTATGCTCACGAGGCTGAGTGGACCCCATTCCAGACCCACCACTTCTCAGAAAATCTGGAGCGCCGGGACTCGAACCCGGGATCTCTAGATCTATAGCCAGGAACTCTGACACTAGACCACAGAGGCGGTCATCTTACTATTTTTTTCTTCTTGTAATTTTCTTTTTATTTTATCACGGGTTATGACTACTCCCCATGCAAGTTCACTACAATAACATCTGCAGACGTTGTCTCATTCGCTTATATAGCGTTCTGATGTGTCCTCGCGTTAAGTATGTCTCGATGCGGAAGGAAGTGAAGGTGAATGGTCGTATCCTGTCACGCAGCCTGTCATCATGTCCATATTAACGTGCACTGTTTTTGTCGATCTCACCTAATCCAATGCATCGTCAATCATTTCTTCTTCTGGTTTGTATTCGTACAACCGTTGGGTAAATACAAGGCAAAGGCACGTTTGCGTTTTCTTCCCGTGTTACTCCATGGAGACGTATAGGGGGCTCGGAAATAAGTTCCACTAATTTTAGACCTTGAAATTAGACTTGAAAACTAGACAGTGGTTGAATGACAGTTTTTTACGGTATGTAGATGAAAGCGCTCTAAAACTGCGATGTTGCGTGTTAATTATACTCAGACTTGCAGTACATCGGGCAAGTGCTCTATTACTAATTATCATTATACATCTTTATTACCGTCATCACGTTATTACGAGGAATATTTATTCCAGTCAAAGTACTTGTCCCAGTATCAGCAGTAAAAGGTATAAAAAGGAAGCTATCCCAGTAACAGGCTGTGAAGGTCCATAGGGTTGTGAGATGTTGAGGCTCCCACATTTTCTAGACAGTCGGCTCACAGATGGCGGTGAGGTTGTCAGCCTTACGCGCCAGCCCCCTTTACCCCCAGGAGGATTCCTGGTACTCATTTCTGTTAGAAAATGAGTCGATCCCAGGGCCATAATGTGGCTGGAAGGATTAGGTCAATTAAAAATCCACCTCATCGGGATTCGCTCCCACGACCTTCCGGCTTGTAGCATGTTACCTGAACTAACTACGCTACCGTGTGCCCCACCAATATCAACAGTGCGAAATGGCAACTTCGTGTTCTTGCGAGGTGCAGCACACAGTACCGTTAGCAAAGCGTGACTGACTGTGAACTGGTTAAGGTCTCACCTCCTGACAATCAGTGCAAGGTCGCAAGTCACCCGCCAACTTGTCTCATTTGTAATACAGATCGAGACCATAGGTCAGCCTCGTGTTTCCGCCGACCGAGCACGCGGCATCCATTATAAAGCGAGTCTTAGAGCCAGTCTAAACGTGATGTCGGAGAAGAAAATTGTACCCCGCCAGAAATCGAACCCATGCCATCCAGCTCTAAATCAGACACTTCACTGACCCGGCTCATATAGGCCTACAGTGTAGGAAACTGATTTAGGAGATGCTGCGGAAATCACAGCATTTGCTTTATTTTCCCGTTTCAAAAGTCTAGAGGTCTACTGATAACGCTAAAGAAGGTAAAGCTATCCCTGTAACAGGCCGTAAAAGCCCGTACGGTTGTGAGACGTCGAGGCCCCCACATTTTATAGACTATCGGCTCACAGATGGGCGGTGAGGTTGTCAGCCATACGTGCCGGCCGCCCTTTACCCCCATGAACATTCCTGGTAGTCATTTATGTTAGAGGCTGAGTCGACCACAGAGCCATAGTGCGCCTGGAAGTATTGGGTAAATTGAAAAAAAAAATTACCTCATCAGGACTCGAGTCCGCGACCTTTCGACTTGTAGCATAGTGCCTCAACCAACGAAGCTACCGCGTACCCCCTAAGATTCACAGTTTCATATTAATTCTAAATGGGAACAGGCCAGAGTCCCTGTTCCGTCAAGGAGGAGGAGAAAAACAGAAGAATGTCATAGACCTGCTGTAAAACTGGCATGTCCTACCTAAGATAATAAAGTTTATTTGTTTCTGGATCATACAGCATTTATTTGGCACATTGTCCCATGATGTACGTATATTGATAGAATGTATGGGCTGGTTGACTCCATGATATGGACATGCAGTGTGAGCCTCTGGTCTGAACAGCCAACTAACGGACCAAGTAGCTATTAACTAGGCGCGTAATCTGGTGCAGTCTTCCTTCAGCGTTGCAGAGTTAACACAACGAAAAGCAGTACCGTCTGTATTTCTTTACGTATCAGTGCTTGGCTACTCTCTTTACTACATTTTTAAGAACTCACTAGCAGAGGACACTGAAGCTTGGTTTAATTTATAGGCCACAGGTCAACCGAACTTCGCGTGTAGATTTTACGTTTTGCATGTTGCGATGTTAAAAAAATTTGGGTATGTGTGGACTGCTGAATATTTATTATGTAAAACTGAAGCAGTATAGCTGAGTTCCTGTGAATTATATGTTGCAAGGGAGGGCCGTGTATCTGATCTGTCACGCAGAAGTATCGTTACGTTTAGAATGAATGAGGTCTTTCATATTAGCATATACTCGTTTACTTTCAAGCGGGAGTAGTTTACGTTGTTGACTCAGAAGAAATAGTTTTCGCGCTTAGAAGTAAAGGATCTTAGGAAAGTCTACCCGCTAACGAGTGGTTATTATCGCTGAAGAAATATTCGGGGTATGTTAAGAATATCTGAAGGAGTGACACTCAAACCGTGCTCTAAGAAACCCTTATGACACGAGTAAGATAAATAAATCATTACTTGCTATCTTCTGCTGATAACGAATTACCCTCTATCCGGAAAAGTTGGCACTATCTTCACCGACAAGCGGCGGTCGATCGGTCGGTATAGTTCGCTTGCGGACTACAGGTGACGGAGATTGTTTTTTTTTTTTTGTTTGCTCAGCGGTAGTAGAGCCAAGCCAAACGTTGGGTCGAGTAATTATACGTCTTCGTATTCGAGAGGTGCTGGGTTTGATTCTCGGTCCAGTCACCTATCTGCAATCAGATTCTGCTTTGTTTTTTTTTCGGTTCCCTCTCCTAGGCAAATGCTGATATATTCTAAAGTAGGCCACAACCTTCCTACAGGTCGATGGAATGGTGCACATATACAGTTGGAAAGTGTTGTTATATCGTTGTATAACCCAAGAGTCAATGAAATAGGACCCGAAGATGTAACAATGCTAAAACTAAAGTTTGTCATTAGACAGGACCCTGGGTGAGTTCCCATGTTCTCATACTCAAAGTGTTCCCTTATTGTTATCCAAACTCTGTGGCCTGTAGTCAGCAGGCGAACTATACCGACCGAGCGACCGCCGCTTGTCCGTGAAGTTAGTGCCAACTTTTGCAGATAAACGGTGTCACGTCGTCAGCGCAACGGATCCCCATGGCCGTTAATCTCGGTTCTCTAGACCGGAGCCACTATTTACTTGAAATAGCTCCTCAGTTATCCTCAACAGGCTGACTGGCCCCCGTTCCAGACCCACTACTTCACAGAAAATTTGATAGCGCCGGGAATCGAAACCGGGACCTCTGGATCTGTAGTCAGGAACTCTGACCACTAGATCATAGAGGCGGTCATTGTTAAAAGAACACGAAGTTTTAACGAAATTTTGACAGTTTTTATTGGAACAGGTTTTTCATTCCACAGAATTGTACAGGCCTGTGTGGCAATTAAGAAGACAGACGGACTGGACAGGCACATGGGCACGCGTGAATATTCTGATTCTGTTTTGTTGTTGTTTGTTAAGTTTTCGGTTCCCTATTTTTTTTTTTTGCTTCCATAACCAAATAACATTAAAAAGCATTGGGCATCGACGCGGTGAGATTTAGGATTCCAAAGTATTGGTCCATATGCATTATTATACCACCACTAGCAAGATAAGGTGGCCCAGTGACGGATATTTTTGGACAGGCATTTATGCTTACCAAAAAGGAAATCTAGACCCAATTTCCTTTCCTGTAATTGCTTTATATATTGTAATACTAGGTGTTAAGCATAATTCTGGCTTTATACGCGTGTAGATCTCAGAATAATCAATTTTTTTCTGAAGATCTGGGCTTAGAAAGTGGAAAAGGCGTAGCCTATTCCTGTACGAAGGATTTAACTGCACCCAATGAAACGGAAAACACACACTCCTAACATTTCAAGTACCAAATCTCATATCCAATTTTTCGCTTATGTCGTTTATCCAAGGAATCCGTCCAGGTCTGAGGCTTGTTTTGCTCTTTTGCAACAATCTAATTTTTTATGATGAGTCGTTTGCCCCACTCCCAACATCATAGCTGGAGGATCATCTCTTGTCGGCTGTCCGCGACTGCTTATTCATTATATTCGCAGCTTCTCTCCATACCTGGAGGCCGTCTCCTCCATCCGCAACCTGAGGACACGCCATGCCGTGGTGACAAGGAACCCATCTAACATGGCATTAATGCAACAGGATGTTCAAATGCAATATTACGAACGACTGAATGAAATGATTGATTCCAGTTCGCCGGTTGTGGCACGCAGGAACACAGTATAGTCGGAGTGCATATGCTGGAAGTGTTGATGCATGATCCCCAGTATGTAGGTGTGACGTACGCGGTGATCACATTTTGGCATATCCGGTCGGTTCATTGCTGTAACTTGTATTCATCACCACAGTACCACGAACCTCTTATTGTGGATATAAGACCGTAAAAACTCCTCCGTGCTATTGGCTCTATATGACAGGACACATGTAGCACGCAGTTCGTCTTCCATAAGGGATCTCGCCTGTAGCAGATCTTGCCGACCGCAACTGGGAAAGCCGTTGAAGTGAAAGTAAAGTATCACTTTGTCATTGTCATTTCAATATGGTCTTTTTCGCCTGTTAAATATTTCATGTGACTCAGCAAGTTTGTTATGGCCCCTTTGGATTATTATATAATGTTATTAAACAGAATCAGAGGTCCGGGTTCGATTCCCGGCCATACCAGATTTTTTTCTGAGAAGTAGTGGGTCTGGAACGGGGTCCACTCAGCCTCGTGATGATAACTGAGGAGCTGTTTCAAGGAAATAGTGAGTCCAGCCTAGAAAACCGAGATTAACGGCCGCGGGGATTCGTTGCGCTGACCACGCAGCACCCTCTATCCGCTAAAATTGGCACTAACTTCGCCGACAAACGGCGGTCGCTCGGTCGGTATAGTCCGCTTGCGGACTAAAACCACGGAGTTGTTTTTGTTTTGTTTATTAAAGTACTCTCAGATATTTTCGTCATGGTAAATATTGTATGTCCTACTGCGCTATATATATATTGGTGAAACAGGCATATATATATATATATATATATGGCCAGAAGTAAAGCAGCCATAAGATTTATTTCTCTTTGTTCAAATGAATTTTAATCATTCGGGTCTAGCTTTGTGCCCAAGATCAAGGAGGGATCAACGAAAGCCGCAAATGACGCGGAAGTTTCTAGAACGTTCCATAGTTCGATCCTCCGGCCCCCCACACCCTTCCCCCCAAAGAAGAAAGAAAAGAAAAGGGATAAAAGGGTAAGGTAAAGCTGTCCCTGTGCTTAACTAATTACCGTATTTACGCATGTATAGGCCGCACATTTTTTGCCAGAAATTCAAGAGGAAAACTGGGGTGCGGCTTATATTCGAAATATTCGAAATCACACTTCATTTAAAAAAATTATATTCATAATTAGTAATACAGGGTGTAATACTCCTGAAATAATATTCCAAGAAAATTATTTTTTCTATAATTTGTCTGAAAATTGTGCTGCGGCCTATACATGCGCAAATACGGTAAGTACTACGCCATGAAGACGTATGAGGGAGTGAATGTATACATCCACGTTTTCTTGACCTTGGTACTAATTGGTGGTGAGTGGTTAGCTTCACGCCCCGCCCGTTTTACCCCCGGCGAAAGAGCCCATTAGATATGAGGCTGGGTGGGCCCCAGAGCCGGTCTGGATGACGTGGAGAAAAAATTCTAGACCTTACGGGGACTAGAACTCCGACCCCTCGGTCGTGCAGCCCCTAGGCAGTCGCTATACCGACTGCGCTATCCCGGCTTCCTAAAGAAGAGAGATGCCGCATATATTCGGACCTGTCCCTGGTAATAAATCCTGGTTGTGTCCCCATGCGTCGGCAGTAGACTATCTGACGTCGTGCAGTGTCTCCACACAAGCACACACTTTCAGTTAGCTGCCAGAAATTTGAGTAATATAAAAGCTACAAAGAATGAAGTAAGGGGGCAATTTAGGAAATGGTATTTTGTGACTTACACTTTTCTATTACGTTGAAATCAAGAAGGCTGCGATGAACTGGACATATAACTGCCATGGGAGAGACAAGTCATACAATATATACAAACATTTTGGGGGGGGGACCTGTTGAAAAATGGTCACTTGGAAGACCAAGAAGAAAATGGAAGCATAATATTAAGATGGATATTATATTTAAGCATCCTGTTACACTCTATACGATATAAATTCCGTCTTAAGTGTAACAATTTATTGTAGGTCTTTCGTTTTGCAGCGGCACGCACACAGGGAGCCTACACAGAATAACACCCTACAGTGCTGAAAACAAGAAGTAGCCGCTGCAGCACTATAGACGTGGGGCGAGTAACCCTGAGAATTTTAAGTTTTAAAATTAGGAAAAATTTTAAAGGAGTTTTCTAAATCGGAACTGAAGATTTTAAAAGTGCCAGTTCATGAATGTCAAAATTGACGTGTGTGGGTGACAAAGATGATGTACGAATCAGACAGATATCAGCGAAGTAGATCCTATTAGCCAATTGGGAAGACCTGTGTGTTTTTTAAATTTTAAACTGGGTGCAGTGTAGCAGCTACGTGAGTGTATACACCTGATGATGGCCGTTTGCGGCCGAAACATGTAGTGTAGAAGAAGGCAAAACGAAAGACCTACAATAAATTGTGAGGACGGAATTTATATCATATATCATTAAGGTGGATGTAAAGAAAGAGATTGTGAGGATGGACAGGGAATAGAACTGGCTCGTGGTTGTATCCAGTTGTGTACAGCGTTGAGATTTCCAATTGTACCATGTGAAATGGATAATTGATGTCTAAGTATACTTTCAAGTAAAGTCAACACCAGGGAAGGATTACAATCATAATGAACTATTTTGGAAACATGTTTCCATTGTTGTTTTATTTTAAAATATGCTACCAGTAGACATTCGTGAACTTGTACAGCGAAGGTCATCAGGGCCAGACAGCTAAGTGAATACGATCCTCATGGTAACAGTTGTGTTGTTGCAGCCATCATCGGGGTGTGCTGGATATCTGGAACTTTGGTGGGCCTGCTCCCTCTTTTCGGCTGGCATAGGCCTCAATCATCTGAAGGAATGAAATGCCTGTTCACTGAAGTTATGGACTACGACTACCTCCTGTTTCTGTACTTCGCCACCATCGTCGCGCCTGCGCTGCTGATGGCCGCTTTCTATGCTCACATCTATCGAGTTGTGCTCAACCAGGTACAGTACCTTTATTTATGTCTCACTTATTTCCTTCCTCTATCCCTCTTTCTAGTTTTTCTTTCATTATTGCTCTTGAATGTGGCCTTTGCAACTATTTTGTTCATTGAAGAGACAATCGCAGATTTTTAATTCATTTCATCATCAGCATCATCGGCACAACAACATTTTTTGAGCCATGTTAATATATTCACTAAATTCATGAATGTGGCTATCGCCAAAGACGTATCAGGAAATCTGCCCCCTTCCCCGCAGCTAATAATTTTGGTCCCCCGTACATACCATTGACATATTCAGGCTGGATTCCTTGCCATGGATTCTACCGACAGGTTTCCGTTCTGTCCGTGACCCTGACAGTCATGTCGGCGTATGTTCAGGCAGGGCTTAGTCATTCGTCCTTCAGTTCGACGTATCGCCATTCCATAATTAGGCGGCCAGGCCATGAGGGGTGCCACATCACCGCGCGGGGCTGCGGGGGCCAACAAATGCACCACTAGTCGTCGTCAGAATTCCTGGCTACAGATCTAGAGTTCCGGGTTCGATTCCCGGCGCTACCAGATTTTCTGAGTAGTGGGTCTGGAACGGGGTCCACTCAGCCTCGTGAGGATAATTGAGGAGCTATTTCAAGGAAATAGCGGCTCCGGTCTAGAAAAACCGAAATTAACGACCGTGGGGATTCGTTGCGCTGACAACGCGACACCCCTATCCGCTAAATTTGGCACTAACTTCGCCGACAAGCGGCGGCCGCTCGTTCGGTATAGTTCGCTTACGGACTATAGACCACGGAATTTGTTTGTTTTATGAGTTATGTAACGATGTCAGCATCTGAGACTATATTGGGTCTCCTTGTAGGATGAGTACTGAACCATGAACTAGAAAGGATATGGAAGCAACCTGTTGTGTCCTTATTCAAAGCATGGAATTTGCCTGTAGTGACTGAGGAAAAAGCTCTAAATAAAGTCAGTCAGGATAGACAGTTTCCGGGTCGAGACTTGAACTTGGAAAGTTGGAAACTTGGAATGCTACCCCCTCGACGGCAACGTTCGGTGACGGTTTTCTTGAAAGACACCACTGCAGATTTCTTTTATTAATGAATGCAATCATTGCAAATTTTTGTTAAAGACTCCCTAATATAAACTTCCCCAAACATCCATTTCTTATAAGATCTAAAAGTCTGTGATGATGGTAAATTGTTACAATTAATATTTTGCTGGACATTATCCATCATCTTGTCTATTCTATTATGAATCCCTTCGGAAATTGGCATAGTTGTCCGGAGATAGGGGCTAGCTCTGTCTATTGGACCCAACTGAGTAGGTTTTACCTGAAGACGGGGACAGAATCCAGTTCCCGAAACGTGTTTTTTAATAGAAATTAGACTGTTTTTTAGAATAGACAAGATGATGGATAATGTCCAGCAAAATATAATTTGTATCCATTTCTTATAATTGACAAATTTATTTCTTGTGTTTCAGCTGCGACGGATAGTGACAATGAACCCCTCAGGGGGTTGCACTTCTGCGCCCACCACTGGAGGCACAATGCTACGGATGCTGGGGCCTACTCAGAAAAGAGAAGTGAAAGCCACGCAGAACCTCTCCATCATTGTGCTGTTCTTTATCATCTGTTGGATTCCTCTGTACACCATCAACTGTGTGCAGGCCTTTTGCCCAGACTGTATCATCCCTCTTGAGCTGACTAATTTCTGTATCATATTGTCACATGCCAACTCTGCCGTGAATCCTCTGCTGTACGCCTATCACCTACGCGACTTCAGAGCTGCTCTCAAGACTTTGCTTTGCTGTTTGTTCGGCAGCAAGGGGCGCCCTGCAGGTACCGATCTCCAAGGCAAGTGTATCATACTGACATTTTGTCTTCTTTGACACACATAGGTAAGTCAATAAGTAAGTTACAAATGGATATAGAACTGAAACAAATAAGAGTACTGATTTGAAAAATGCTTTTAATTCTCAACATAAACTCCCTGTACACTGAGGCACTTGTCCCATCATTTCGCAAGTCCCTGAAAACCAGCAGCATAAAATTCTTTGGGCTGCTGTTGGAACCAGGCACTGACTTCCCTTCCTACAGCTTCATCGTCGGGAAAACGTTCAGCCGAAAGATGATGTTTAAGAGGGCCGAACAAATGTAAGTCGCATGACAGGTTAGGTTTACACAAAGTCTGTGCACACTGGGTGCCGTGCATGCTGACCCCACAACACAGAATGCAAAGAATGGGCCTGGCATTACAGCATCTCAGTTGCTACCACGATGAAGGACACGATATGTTAGCCCGAATTGTCACAGGTGATGAGTCTTGCTTCAAGCGACTTCCATTTGTTCGGCCCTATTAAACATCATCTTTCGGCTGAGCATTTTCCCGACAATTAAGCTGTAGAAAGGGAAGTTACCGCCTGGTTCTGACAGAAGCACGNCCGAGCAATTTAGTCATGACCAAGCTTATCATGGTGTTTATAGATGTGATAATTGTGTCACGTTAGAAAGCCAGTTAAAAGAAGCTTTACTAGAGTTCAGTTCATCTAAATTCATAATCAAGCTGTTATATATATAAAGAGTTAAATGATGCTTCAGCAAGAGCCGTAAGACCGTCAATGATCAACAAAAAGTTTATGTGAAACCGTTAGTGAAAAAACTTCAATCGAACCAAAGTGGACTGACTGGAAAGCATAAGAGAATTGCCAATGGTAGATGGGAAAACATTTATAGAATACCTGTCATGAATAATCGCTACAAATTACCTTGCTATAGTGAAGTCTGCGAAACCCAGGTCTTTAATTCAGCTCAGAATCAAGAAGTAAGAAAACCCTACAAAAAGCAAACATCATCAAAAAAGAAGAAGCATAGGATTTTAATCATCGGGAACAGTAATGGAAGAGAATGTGCATCCAAGGTAACGTACAACCTGGACAATGATTTTGAAGTCCAGGGGATCATAAACAAAACTATAATTTTGCCTGTGGTTCTGTATGGGTGTGAAACTTCGTCTCTGACATTAAGGGTGGAACATAGACTGAGGGTGTTTGAGAACAGGGTGCTGAGGAGTATATTTGGACCAAAGAGAGATGAAGTGACAGGATATTGGAGAAAACTGCATAATGAGGAACTTCATAATTTGTACTCTTCTCCAAGTATAATTAGAATGATCAAGTCAAGGAGGATGAGGTGGGTAGGGCATGTAGCAAGAATGGGGAGACGAGGAATGCATATAGAATACTGGTGGGAAAGTCAGAAGGAAAGAGGCCACTGGGAAGACGAAGGCTTAGGTGGGTGGACAATATTAAAATGGATCTTATAGATATATGATGAGATGGTATGGATTGAATAGATCTGGCTCAGGATAGGGACCAGTGGAGGGCTCTTGTGAACACAGTGATGAACCTTCGGGTTCCATAAAATGCTGGGAAATTCTTGAGTAGCTGCAGAATTGGCGGCTCCTCCAGAAGGGCTCAGCTCCATGAGTAAGTAAGTAAGGGGATCATACAGAAGAAGCAACCTATGAACTAACTAACGATATTTTAAGTGCTCTCAATAACAGATTAATTGTGGGAGGGATTTTCTGTGATCTAGCAAAAGCTTTCGATTGTGTTAATCATGATATCTTACTATCGAAATTAAATTTCTATGGAATAACTGGCAAAGCTAATGAATGGATCAAATCATACCTCAAAAACAGGTATCAAAGAGTTGAAATAAATAATAAAAACTCCAGTCATAATGCATTTTCAAACTGGGGAATTATAAAGCACGGTGTTCCACAAGGATCAATTTTAGGTCCCTTACTTTTTCTTCTCTACATAAATGATCTATCTAAAACCATCAACAA